CATCACGCTTGGGACTCAATTCCCGCGCGTGCGCAGGTGACGACTCTCCCACTTTAAACAAAGAAATGACGTGTCATCTAAGTTATTCACCCTACACTGAAGTCCACGACAAAGTGATTACATACATCTGTTCAGAACCTGTTACGTGATGTAATGTTTGCTTTATACTCTAATAACAAATGGGAAAAGTATCCTGATTTATGGCATATGATTTATTTACAGTAACCACACTGTGAAAGAAAAAAATGGTTTTCAAATTACCGAAATTACATACTTTGCAATCTGGCGATGCAGAATAGGTTTATAATCAAATGTACACATGTCACAAGGTTCTAAGTCACGGGTAGCATAATTCACAATACGGTGCCTTGAATTGCATTCAATCGTTCTTTCAAATGATCGGTATGATAGCTTTGTACAGCATTATTGACTACTATAGTATTTCGAGTTGAGAAGGAAATATCCTTTTAAGAATTTAGTCTTGAATAATATTAAAATCTTATACCTGTTAGGAATTCTGGTAATATCAGATATGAACTCCAAAGATACATGTGAGGAATAGATATGGAATTGAAAAATTTTACGTAAAGCTAAATTACCGTCAGCGAGAATGAGTCTGCCGCCACCACCGGCAATCACCCTCGAAAGCCCGAAAGCTATACCGGCGTGTGTTCTTGTATACTAGTATTTTATTTTTTGCCGATTCTAGTGTAACAGAACATCCATCGTAAGTTAAAACGTTGTCCCGAGGTATTAAATATTGGTTGCGCTTAACCCAAGCGATTATAACTGAACTGCCTGACTGATAACAGAGTAAAACACGCATATACAAAAATTAAAAATATATAAGACGTAAGCAACACAAATGAAAAATATGCAATGTTTTTATGGGTTTTGTATTGACAATTATAGTGAAAATTGTACCCGAGACAATTAAGATGGCATTGCAAATTCAAATGTTAACCACAGCCAGAAAAAAAGTGCGCTTTAGGCCTTGTTGTCGATGCCCCAAACATAGTTGAGGGGGTAGATTTACATATCTTGAAGTTGATCAAAGAATCTGTCAAATTTGAAGATGAATTTCACTTCAATACTCCTATTATTATATTATCAGAGGCGGCGGCACGAAATCTATGTACAATGTAAAGGAGAATGAATAAAACTATTGAGTAGAATAATTTATTTATTTATTTATTTATTTATTTATTTATTTATTTATTTATTTATTTATTTATTTATTTATTTATTTATTTATTTATTTATTTATTTATTTATTTATTTATTTATTTATTTATTTATTTATTTATTTATTTATTTATTTATTTATTTATTTATTTGAGATACCAACAGGTTTCCCCAATTACAGGCACTCATAAAATACAAATACAAAAATGTTTACGAATATAATATAAAATAAAAAGAAAGACCCAAAGCTCAACTTATGGTATTTAAAAGAGATATCTCAAAAGAAGACAGACTCGTAAAAATGTCTACTGAACCAGCAATATAAATACAATTTAAAAAGTCAAGTTAAATTAAAACAAAAATCGATGATAAACAATATACATTATGTGGTACAGCATATTTTCGCTTCAAATTCTATCTCTGAATTTTTTTTTTAAGTCCGCGTTTCTTTGCCTTTCCTCGTTTTCCTTTCTCCTGTTCATCTTTTCAGTACCTGCAATCATTCGAATCTAGAATCCCTCGCGGTTTAAAATTGTCGTGTCATCGAATTATCGCCTATTTTCAACATCGTTTAGTGGTCGGAACACTGAACAATCCGTTAGGGCGTAAGCAAGGTTAGCATTAGCATTAGTCAGCTGGCATCGGT